AGTGGGTAAAATGATGGGACAAGATGCAGTTCGAGAAATTGAAAATGTTCCACTTTACAATAAGTCGACGTATCGATGACATGTCACATGACGCTGAAGAGGTTTTGTGTGATAAACTAGAAAATAGCAGTTTTTCTATCCAGGTTAATGGGTCAACAGATCCTACAAATAAATGTCACGTTGTAGCTTTTGTAAGGTTTGTCAATGAGGGTGAAATTCAAAAAACTTTTTCTGTTGCAAAGAATTGCCTGAGACAAGCAAAGGAATAGATATATTCAATATTTTATCCTCATATCTGAAAACAAAAGGTCTCTCCTGGAAGAACTGTACTGATGGTGCCCCATCCATGCTTGGCTCCGTAAGAGGTTTTGTTTCTCACGTAAAACAAGAAACTACTGATGTTGTCTCAACACACTGCTTTCGTCACAGAGAGGTGCTGATTTCAAAATCTCTTGGAGAAGAATTGAAAAAAGGTTTTGATGAAGCTCCAAAAATGGTTAACTTTATTAAACAATGACCAGTTCACTCCAGAATGTTTAAAAGCTGTGTGAAAACCTGGACAAAGAGCACATAAATCTCTTGCTACATACAGAAATCCGGTGGCTGAGTATAGGAAGATTTCTAAATAGAGTGTTTGAGCTAAAACATGAATTGCAGGAATACTTTCAAGGAAGCAATAAGCAAGATTTTGCCAAGTGCATTGAAGATGAAAAATAGTTGCAGAGGCTAGCCTACTTAGCAGACATTTTTCATCACATGAATCAGCTCAACAAGTCACTGCAAGGCCCTGGAGAAAATATATTGACTTCAAGTGACAAGATTCTTGGATTTAAATGAAGACTGAAACTTTGGAAAAATCATGTTGCAAAAGGGAATCTTGAGATGTTTCAATCACTGGAGGGGCTTAAAAGTAAAGAAGGATATCAGCAAATTTCAAGTCTTTTTGAAACCCACCTGGAAGAACTTTGGATCAAAATCGAACATTATTTTCCTTCCCTTTCAACACAAG